TAGAAATGGACCTGCCTTATTCACAAACAGAACAAAAGCTAAATCTCTCTTCTACTTTACTAGTATGAAGAAGAGAAAATCTCTACTATATGCGGGTTCATCTCTTTCTCTTCTTATTCTTTTCTCTTGCCTCTCTATACGATAGAGCGAAGGGGCAGTTTGTGAATATCTCCGTCCTTGATTTTTAGCATCTACATAAAAAAAATAACAATTTTTTGAGATCCCTAGGTCTTTCATTTTGGATCACCAAGAGAAGGTCACGCCAGGCCGAATGACGCGACTCAACGGCCACATTAGCTGTGCACATGAACTAAAACAGCTTCACTAAAACAAAGAGCATGGAGCTGTTTTATCTTTATTATGTAGCATTAGGACATGTTTTATCAAACACTTCACTAAAACAACTTCAACTTCACCCGGAGCTGCTTATGGATTTGAAGCTTAAAAATCTACTCTACGAGTGAAGCACTGTACTAAACGACCTCTTGGTTTAGCATCTCAAAAGTGCTTCTACTGCCAAAAAATAGAACCCAAATGAGTAGAATCTGAAGCTGTTTTTTCAGAAGTAGGAGATTTTGCGTAGTATAATTTTTGCAGTACCTTGGGCCATACTTTTAGCTTTTAGCTTTTTTCAAATGGGTGAAAATAGATAGACATTTAACAGTTGTTTCAAGAAAGATAAAGAGATGAGATATGTTTATAGTTGTTTCAACCAAACAGCTTACAACCTCTTCATAGCTCACAACTTTTTCGCATCTCACAACAACTTTTCCATAGGTCAGAGCTCATCCAAATAGACCACACCCGTTGTTGGTTGCAGCACCAAAGATTACTTGTTTTGGTAGAACTTATCACAACTCGGTTTTTCAATTTTGGGCTAAAAAGGATGGCTTTAAGATAATTCTAGAGATCGCACCCCTTGCTGGTTGGTGCACATAAATGTTCGCATTAGCACGGTCTAGATATGTATTATGTCTTAATACATAGCAGCAACTAGATATGTATTATGTTTAGGTACATAGCAATAATCTAAGAAAATTATAACGACTTATAATTTAAAATATAGAAGAGTACCAAAGCAACCTTAGTAGATAGAACGAATGAAAGGCCACCACTACCAGACTCCATTCCTGACGGTTCTATGTATTCCGGACGGTTTTCTGAAAACGGACAGGATTAGGTGTAGTTCCTGTCGGCTGAGTAAAACCGACAGGAAATACACTTATTTCTCCTGTCGGTTGTGTAGTTGCCGTCAGGAAAACGAAAACCGTCACGAAATGGGGCCGCCCAGCACACAAATATCCCCATCCACAGAAGTCCTAACCGTATCTTATTGTTCCGCTTCGGCTCCCTACGCGCCGCCGCCCCTTCGCGCAGCCACGGGCTCCTCCCCATCCACGCCGCCACCCACGCTTCCTCCCCATCCACGACGTGGGCTCCAACAGTGTCGCCGCCCTAGCCCTACGCAGGGGCGCACCTCCACCTGCGGCAGCTCCACCGACCGTCGTCATCTCCACCAACCGGCGCCCAGATCCAGATGAGAGGACGTCGCCGCCGCGTATTCGTAGGCGAGGCACAAGCGGAGGGAGAGGTAGTGGTTCGCTTCCCGTCCCGGCCCAGCACCGCTACAGCTCGGGCGCATCTCATCTCACCATCGCCCCCACCCCAGAGGCGAGTTCTGCAGGCCTACGACCGTGCTGCAACACGGGCCGGGGCTGAGCTTGTCCGTCCAAGCCACCGTGTCGCCTCCAGGTCCGCACATGTCGAGCTCCTCCAGAACGCCAGTGCTCCCATCCCATCCGAAGGTGAGGCCCTGCTGCTATTTCTCAGATCTGCTAGGCATTTTTTTTTTCTCAAATACATAGATCTGCTAGGGATGAATCGGTACATGCATTGAACTTTATTGTTGAATAGTTGGAGCACTGCCATATGCAAGTTGAAACTCTGTACACATCGATTTCAACGAAATTAAAATTGTCTCTGCTCTTGCATTTGGTTGCAATTGATTTTTGCCATGGACGAGATGCATGCTTGATTTATTAGTGTTTTTGCAATGGCAGACAACTAAGATACAATTCCCATGATCTGTATGAACTAAAATATAACTGAAATTTGGTGCTAGCGTATCCTTAATGTCTTCTCTGATCTAGGGCTAGCTGCTGATTGGGAGCAGAGCAGCTTGGATTTTTCATAAGCAGATCTAGTGCTAGCTTGTGACTAGGACGGTCGACCAGAGTGGAGCAGGATGGATTTTCAGATCCTGTTGCTTGTATTATCTCCACAAGGTAATTATCTGAAGGGACCGAGATTATTTCCTCCTCTTTTAGTTTCCATAATCATGATTCTGCAACTTTTAGATCAAGTTAGGTTTGTTCAGATTGAGATATAGAGGATAGATTGGTTGATCACATAAAAAATCAGGATTCATCTTGGTTGAGATCTTGCTCGATGTTCAGAGTAAAATGTGAATGCACAATGACTTTAGAGTAAAATGTGAATGCACAATGTTCAGAGAAAAAAAGAATGCACAATGTTCAGAGAAAAAAAACAATGCTGCTTGATGTGTTACAAATGGCGAGTGAAATAGTTTGATGTTTTTCACACCAAAGATCGGTTTCCTTTCTCTGTCATGTAACTATGTTTGCTCAGTTACTCCTTCATGGGTTCTTTTTGGTGTTAGGTTTTAAATTTAAACTTCCAGGTTGCTAATTGTCCTCCACACCTTATTTTGTCTTTTGGATCGGTTACTCCTTGAACTGGAATCTATTTTCTTTGTAGTACTCTTTGAAAACATATCTACCTGGTCTGAAAATTTCATCCACGCCATGTCTTTGTTTTGACATAACAACACAATTTCTATTGTTGCGCATTATTTTTTGTGTATTTACGTTTTCAAGGTTTCGACTATACTCATTGGTAACGTAAGGCAAATGATCAAATAGTTCAAGATTAATTGTTGTGGCTTTAGAATTCAATCTGTAACCAGCAGTCTATACTTTATCTAAAAAAAACCCGCAGTCTATTACTGTGTCTACAAGCAGTGGCGGACCCAAAGGGGGGGCTGGGGGGGCTCCAGCCCCCCCTAATGTCTTGATTTCAAGCCTAATCACTGTAGCAAAAGCTTGATTTCACCATTAAATCTTCATGCAAATCAACATCTCCATTGTTTTAGCCCCCCCTTATCCCGCATCGTGCATCCGCCACTGTCTACAAGCAGCAAAAGCCGGCGCAGCGTAGCGCACCCAATGTGCTAGTATAACTTAACCTTGATGAGTTTTAGCAATTTAAGCAAGTCCATTATTTTTATTCTGTTCCTTCTCAACATAACAATGCTCCAGCTTCATTAGTTTTTTTTCTTGTTCAGAGTAGTATGGTGAAAGTAATAAAAGGGAGTATTGTCGCCAGGAACCTTGGTGATAATTTGATACAAAAGGTAGGGTTGGGTGCTATGACCAAATTTCTGTACAATTTGTTCTTATCAAATACAAATTTTCTCATAGCTGTCATCTCTTTTCTTCTATTAATTACTGCATCAGTTTTTCTACGGTCAGTCATTGTTATCTGGTATATTTTGATTATGAGATAGGAGCCTGCACATACTTGGTGATTTAGTACTGAAGCTCATTGCAAATTTATTATCAGATTTTCTGTGAAAAATGCACATGCTCTATTTCTTCACATCTGAGAAGTGACTGAAATTGTCTACATTGTGTTGGTACATGCTGATGCCTTCAATTTTTTTATTTCAATTCAGAACTAATATAGGTGGCATGGCACATTGTAGAAATATCAAAGGTGGATGCTTTGTTATATTCTGGGCACCTTGCAGATTCATAACCAATATATGTATATGACATGTCGAAGCAAATAGCTGATCTAATATATTTTATTTTATTTTATTGCAGCAAATTCATAGCTGTGGGCACCTTGCAAACTCATCCTTTTGCATTGCTTCGGTTCAAGTTCAGACCAACTTCTGTAGATAACCTTTAGTGTAGTTAACTAGAAGTCATATTGAGGTGTCATTGATTTGAAGTTCTCATTCAGACTTTTGTGTAGTATTCATTTTTTCATTCTAATGCCAATAACTTGATGGATGGATCTGAACTTTATGTATAAATAATGCAGCTGAGGTTAATTAAGGATGAGGTCTGCTTCTGTATATTTTTTTTAACTTTACTTAGTTGGTTTCCTGACGGCATAACCGTCAGGAATTGGCCAACATTTTAGTCCAGGGCTATCCTCAGACCGTCAGGAAATAGTGATCTTTCCTGTCGAGTTGTTCCTGTCGGTTCATTCCTGACGACTGGCCGACAGGAATATGTTTCGTGACGGTTTTTACCCTTTTCCTGACGGTTTCTGGACGACAGGAATTTCCGCTGCTCTGGTAGTGCACCTACCTAAATCTTTCAGTTTTCAAAAAACTAATCGAGACCAACCCCCACAACCCTGACCTAGCATTCCTCAGCTGCTAGGGAATCGAGGTAGGAAATACCACGTGACCCAACTAAACCTGGAAATCTCAGCTCATCCCTAATTTAGACCATGATGAAGGAAAGACTCAGTGAGACTCCATAGAAAACACACCGGCTGCGGAGGTTCTAAATACACCAAGCAACCAAGATGACCAAAGAATTGAGGCCCTGCCAACTTCAACCCTGGAATTTGCATCAGACCACCAATCATCAAAGGATTTTTTTTGCAATTTAGCTTTTTTTTGTACTTCTTGGATTTCTAGTGAGGCATATCTTGGCTCGTGTTGAGTGTTGTAAGGGGTTTATACCCATTTCTTCTTCGTCTTAATACAATGATATATGTCTTGCGTGTTTATATGGAAAAAACTTTTCAGTTTTTGAAAGTTTCTTTTTTATATTCTTTATTATATAAATAAATAGATATACTACAGAGTACGTGCAATTCATAGCAGAGCCCGATAGCCCGCTAGAAATTGGGCCGGGACTCCAAAACTTTGTCAGGCTGATCGCCAAACCCGTGGGCTAATGGCCCATGCTGCCAGCTGGCTCATCGTCTTCTCCGTTACGCCCTCTGCGGCTCTGCCCCTCTCCAAACCTTTCAATCTCCCCGCCCAAATTGCCCGCGCCCTCCCCAAAACTCCATTCCCCGACCTTTCGCCGAGCTTCTCCAATGCCCCGGCGGTGGATGTCTGCGCCACCGCGGCTCGCCGTCAACGACTTCTACGATGACGACGTAAGCTCTTCTCCTCCCCCAAATCTCCCCGCCTCTCCTCGCGCCCCGCTCACGTAACCCTAACCGCAGGGCTTCGACTGTGAGGCCGCCGTGCAGGAGATCGACCGAGCCTGCGCCCTCGCGTCGGCCTCCGCCCCGCCCCCGCCCCGCCCCGGCGCCGGTGCATCATCCGCTGCCGCCGCGCGCCCCCGAGCCATCGGCGACGGCGCCGCTTCACAGGCCACCGGCGGCGGGCGGCGGCGCGGCGCGGCAGTCGACGCTCGTCCGCTTCGTCGACTCATTCACTAAGAGGCGGCTGGAGAAAGAGAGGCCCGCTCCAGCGCCCGCGCAGGCGGCGCCGTGGGGCGTGGGGGTGGACCCAGGTGGCGGCGGCGTGGGGGGGCGGTGTCCGCGCGGGCGAGGGGTGCTCACGACAGGCGGACGAGTCCAAGGCCGTGGGGGACCGATTCATCGAATCCTTCACCAGGAGGCAGCGGGAGAAGGAGAGGGCTGCAGCGGAGGTGGCACTGGCACCGGCTGGTGGCCGGGGGCACCCTGCAGCTCGTGCTGGCAAGGGGTGCTCGGGTCGGGGTCGGGGCAAGCGTGCTGGCAATGGATGCTCCCGTCGGCCCAATGTGGAGGTTGAGTATGATCCCTGCGCCGTCGCCCTGGACCACGAGGCTGTGAAGACATGGATCTATCCAAGTGAGGGGGTTTGAGTTTCTGCTGCATTTTGCCAATAGCTGTTCTTTGTTCTGGTTTTCATGCTGAGATTCAGCTTATGGGTGGAGCCAACTTGGAAAATAGATATCTTTATCTTTAGTGAATGGCTGGGACTTTATTAGTCAATAATGGCAGCCATCTTGCTTCATGATATACATTCCCAGAAGTTCTTGTTGGTACTGAAGTTTACCAGATACTCAGGGATGCGGAACCCGACTCTAAACTTTGTTTTGTCAAGCACGTGAGAAGCCATACTAGTTAGGCGATTGCAACAGGAAATCAAGCAAAAAACTAAAACATGAGGATAAGGAGTTTAGTTTGCTGGAACAGCACTACACCCATAGAAGCATGCACCTCTTTTAGTTGAAGTGGATAGAATAGACTAGGAGCCTGTCCACCCTTGGCAATATGTTTTTTGTTGTATCAAGCAAATGCCATTTTTTTGGGGATGTTATTGGTGCAACAACTTAGGTTGGTTATTTGGAATCTCTTCGCTTAATTATCCATGTCTTTAGAATGCAGGTTTTACTAGGCCTTCACATGAGTTCCCCAAACCACCGTCAGGGTTTCTGCTTTTTGTTGTAGATTAAGTATTGAGTGCATTGTGGTTGTCGTATTCCTGAGTACAACTGGATTACATGTTTGTTGCTCACATGGTTGATTCTATTGCATCTGCTAACAACTGTTAAATAGCACTATTTTAGTATAGTGGTATAGCATGGGATTGATATATGCATTCTACTAAATGATATCTTGATTGTGAATTGTTGACGCGCATCACTTCTAATTTTTCCAGTTTCTTTTATCTATTTGAGGAAATCCTTGATTTTGTAGCAGGTAGCTGCCTAAACACCATAGGGAAACCCCAATATTTCAACATGGATGCACAAAGTTTCATTCCTCAGATGCAAATAACTGGATGCAATTAAGCAATTTGGAAAATAGACAATGAAAAATTCCTGTCAGAATTTCCATTTTCTTCTGGTTAATGGTTATTGTTTTGTTCTTGTAGAACCATGTTTGCTCTTTAAATATTTAAGGGTACACTTCACTAGATACTAGATAGTTATCTTGTTATATGTAATCCAAGCAGCATATCTAACTTTTATAATTTATTTTGGCTATTATTTTTATGCGTTGCAGCTAATGTAGAAGTCCGAGAGTACCAGAAGTATATGGTTGCAAAGGCTCTGTTTACGTTAATAGCTTTGCCAACTGGACTTGGCAAAACTTTTATTGCTGCGGTAGTGATGTACAACTACTTTCGATGGTTTCCTGAAGGTAATGTTTTGCATCGCATTTTAACCGTTTACCTCTCCGATGCTGTATTTTATGAACTCGTGGAATTGATGCTGAAACTTTGTTCTTATTTACAATGGAAATTTAGGGAAAATCATATTTACTTGCCCTTCACGTCCTTTTGTTACTCAGCAAATTGAGGCATGTTACAATACAGTGGGAATACCACAGGTACTGCAAATAAATCTGCTGTTGGTGATTTTCTTATTTTATTTAGGGAGAAGTCTATTTTTGGCCATCCAATTATTGTCCGAGTTTGTTTTTGGCCATGCAACTCTCAAACTAGTAATCCTTGACCACCGAACTATCAATACTGGACAAATTTGGCCATCTAGCTGGTTTCAAAGGTGGGTTTGTATTTTCTGAAAATAATAAAGCTAGTTTATTTTTTTTAAATGATAACTAAAAGTTATTTTAAATCATAAAAATATGAAACCGGTACCGACATTTTTCTAAAAATATAATGTGTCTATTGGTGCTGGATTTGGAGTTATTTGGATTTTATTTTTTGCCATTCCTAGTGTTTCATTGCTTGTAGTCATGCCTGTTATTTATTTAAATCATCATTTTGTGCTATATTAAACCTAGATATCGGACAAGAGAATCCGTACTCAAACCAAATATGTTGTTTAAATTAACCAAATTATTTTTGGAGGCTAGCGATGATATACTAGTTGCAATGGCTAAATATGATATATCTAGTGGAGCATGGCACCTGCAAGGTTGGTGCCATCTTCCATATCTTTTATTTACTCATAATCTATTATGGATTCTTAAGTTCAATCTCGGGTATAATATAATGCAAAATGATGATTTAATAAGTAATAGACATGACTACGAGCAATAAAACATTGGTAATGGGAAAAATAAAAACAAATAACTTCAAATAGAGCACCAACAAATGGATTATATTTTTAGAAATATTTTGGTACTGGTTTCATATTTTGCGGATATCAATTGAATTAGTTATGATTTTTTTTTTAAATAAACCAACTTTATTGTTTTCAGAAAATACAAAACCACCTTTGAAACAAGTTAGGTGGCCAAATTTCTCTGGTCTTGATGGTTCGGCGGTAAAAAATTTCCAGTTTTAGAGTTCCATGGTCAAAAACAAACTTGAGCAATACTAGTCTGGTATCTATAAATCTCATTTTTGCTTTGTGCTGCACATTTTTCTGTGCTGCCTGCTGGAAACTGACATAATTGTGTATTTTCAGGAGTGGATAATAGATATGAAAGGAGGTCTTTGCCCTTCCACTCGATCAGTTCACTGGAAGTCAAAGCGAGTGTTCTTTGTCACTCCACAAGTTCTTCAGAATGATATACAATCTGGTGATTATTTCTGACTGTTTCTGGCAATCTTTATTACTAGTTCCAGTCAATTAAACTTGACCCTCAGAGGCTCAGACAACAAAAACAAGAAGAAAACAAGCTGTTTCCATTGTCTGGAGGTAGTGATATTCTTGGGTTGTTTATTGCTAATCCATCTTGATATCAGTTGGAGGTCCATTTACTATTTTTAGAATGATAACTGAACACAAACTTACTTCCAAATTAGCATTTAAGAACTACTCTATATAGTTGATTTTTTGTTTTATGTTCTTACTTTTGTTATATGCTTAAAATTTACTTTTATTATTCTCCAATTTTTCATTATGAACTTTGGTTTTAACAGGTATATGCATGGTACAGCAAATAGTTTGCTTAGTGATAGATGAGGCTCATAAAGCATCAGGAAATTATGCTTACTGCATGGTTATCCGAGAGGTATGTTTCACGGTCATGTACTACACTCATTTGTTTTATCTGCATGTGAAATCCTATTTTGTTGTCATCATTTTGCTCCATTGTGAGCTCTTTTGATTCATTATAATACTCTGTTTAGTCACAAAAATAAGTGGTGTTTTGGACATTGAATTGACATGGTTTCCAAACACAACTTTGACTAGTACCTTTTGTTACAAAATGCTATTAAACATATCAAAAGTATAATTATATGAATACATTTTGTGACAAGTTACTCAGATCATTTGAATAATCGAATATCTAAACTTTACACATAAAAAAGTAATCTGTAACTGAAGTTCGGGATCGTTGACTTAAGACAACCCCATAACGTCACTTATTGCTGACTAGAGGGAACATCAGTCAACTAGTTTTTTGAATGCTGTGCAACTTGGCTTGATCAGTCTTTATTTTTCTGTCACGTTCGCAGTTGCTGGCATCTCGTGTGCCTTTAAGGATTTTAGCTCTAACTGCTACACCAGGATGTAAGTTTCTACATTAAAATAGACTTACTTGCCCAATCATGAAGGCACCATCTAAATTTGCAATCTTGTCCTACTTGTGGTTCAGCCAAGCAGTCAAAGATCCAAAGTGTTATAGACAATTTAAGCATTTCGGAGCTAATTTATTGTGATGAAGAGGATTCTAGAGTGAACCAGTATGTTAACACACGCAAAGTTGAAGTTGTGCAGGTACGTGTGAACTTTTGTTGACAATACACTGTTCCTCTGTGATGTAAAAGTCGCATGTTCCAGTGTAGGTCCCTTCTGGCAGTGATGCTACTCAAGTTGCTGATATGCTTTTGGATATTGTGCGCCCACATCTTAATCGATTGCATGATGCTGGTGTGATTGACCATCGGGATTATGCAAATGTATGTTTATCATACCTTTAAAATCACAATCATTATGTTTACATGTGTTTGATTATAAGAATATTTATCCACTTGTGCCCTGATGATCGTTAGTTGCTCACATGATTTCACCAGTGGACCCAATATGAACTGCTGAAATTTAAGGATAAATTCAAGGAAGCACCCCCACCAAATATCCATGAAATTGAGAGAGGGGAAACTGAAAGGTCTTTTGTAATTCTTGGCCCACTTTGTCACACAAGGAGGTTGCCTTTGAGCCATGGAACCCAATTTGCACATGGGTATCTTGACAAGAAGTTGAAGGGAGGGTACTGTCTTCACACTTTTGCTACATAAATGTACTTTTTAATTTTTATTTGTAGTGATGCATACTAGGCTCATAAATACTCCATTCGTTCCAAATTATAAGTCGCTTTGTATTTTTTGGTACATAGAATTTGTTATGTATGTAGAATACGTTATATCTAGATGCATAGCAAAATGGATGTATCAAACAAGTCAAAGTGACTTATAATTTGGAACGGAGGGAGTATGAGGCATGTGAGGACTGAGGACTATTTTCTTTGGTAAAGCTGTATGGAAATTCTTGACAGACCTGTTTTCGTGATGCAGCAGTAGTTACTAGTCCGTATTGTTGACAGCCATAGTGTGATCTTCATGTAGAATGGTTCAGTGCAACTTAATCACATTTGAGCTGTCTTCAAGGTTATAAATTTAACCAAATAGCAACGTTTACTTGTGATACCTGTAGCTGCACGGCAACCAGTTGCCATATGTTGTTTGCTCTTTTTACTTATTTAGGTAATGTTTGATGTTTTCTTGGATTTAGAAGTCTTAGGAAATTTAAATAAAATTTTGAGAAAAAGGTCTACTTCAAGAAAATTACACGGTTAAGGCAAGGAATTTGGGAAGAGAAACAGAGGGCACTATTTCCTCGCTGGGTCCATGCATTTCTAAAATTGTACATAATGTCTTATTGATATAAATTTATAATAAACATCTTAGTGATTTTTTTTTGATGACATACATCTTAGTGGTTAAATAATTTCTGCCTATCCTCTTCAACTTCATAGAATTCTTTTTTAACTAACTGGATTACAAGTTTTATGAACATCCAGCTAAATTTTCAGCATGGATGCGCGATATTGGTACTTTGGCAGTTGTAGTTACCATTCAGGAAACTTGACCATTCCAGAACTTAATAAATTAATACCCAAAGATGATTAGTATTGAACTTGTGCCCTCGTCATATGAGCATACTGATAGAATTATGATTGTGATGATTACGGAGTTGATACTTATTCTTGCTTTTGTGCGTTAGTTTGCAAGCAAGCTTTTATCTATGTTCATCTTTAGCGCTGTTCTTGTTTATTGAAGGTTTTTGAATTTGATGCGCAAGAACGACCTCTTTTGGCGACTAAAACAAAAGATGAAGCTTTCCTCATCTCAAGGTACGAGTACGACTCCAAAAGTAGAGGAATTGAAAAGGCTGATGCTTGAGCACTTCAGTAAGTAACCTTCTTTCTTAATGTTGTACTCCATCCATTTCAAAATTTAAGTTGTTTTTAACTTTGTCCTAACTCCTAAGTTAAACTTGTCTAACTCTGACTAAGTTTATAGAAAAAATGTATTAACATCTACAATATCGAATAAATACACTCATACAAGCCGGAAGGATCTGCTTAGGATGAGCCCGGAGATCCGTTTGGCTTCAATCGCAGGACCCGTCGACCCTGTGAACTCCTCTCGAGGCATGCCAGTTAATTTGACCTGTAATTGACAAGGAGACAAAGTTTATCAGTAATTTAAGGTGGAACATGCCGGTTTTTGCCTAGACAGTTCCAAGTGTGCCGCTTTGGGAGCAGGCAGACGGGAAAATCAACAAAATAGCTGATACGCGAAGAAATCGGCTGTTATGGACTGTAAAGCTCGTGGGTCGCGATTGATTTTATGTTGACAAGTACAATGCACGCAGATATAAGTAAAATCATCGGCTAGGTGGGTATTACCAATGTAAAGCATTGAGCCGATGAATCTAACGAGAAAGGATATAACATGCGAATAAATCGATTGTCTAGTACAAATGGATCCACAAACGCTCTGAATATAATCTATTACTGTCAACAGTGATGTTCGACCGGATCGATGGCAGGTATGATGATAACAACAAACTAAAACCGAAGAATCCATAAAACCGTCTATACATTGACAGGTTTTCTGAAAGACATGTTATATCTGTGAAAGCACAGGCGAATCGGCTGAAATAGCCGATTCAAGTAGAAAAAGGGTCATAGCATATGAACAATCGACTATTCAGTACGAGTAAACCTATAAACTCCTCAAATCCAATCTATTATCTTTAACAGTGGGGTTCGACCGGATCGATGGCAGCCATAATAAAGATAACAGATTAAACTTTTAAAGAAAACGGATCTATTCATATTTAACAGGGTCATGAAAACATGCTATGAACGTTAAAGTGCGGGCGATCGGTTATTTAGCCGATGCAGGCATAGTAAACAGTCAAGGTCATGTCTGATCGAAAACAAATCTACCAACTAGCATCCTCCGATCTAAAGTGCCATCAGTGGGGATCGATCGGATCGTTACAGCCATAATAACGAACTATAGACCAGATTTAACTAGCCAGCAAACCTTCTCAAGATCAGACATGCCTTAACCGCGTACTATGCAAGATCAAGATCGAAGTAGAACAGCTGATGAAACATAACCCGTCGCTTAAAGTAAGAAACATTGTATTGTAACAAAGTAAAAGACGGATTAAAAGGATGTGAGGCCGATCTAGATCGATCTCGATCGGGCAGATTGATATTGCTGAAAACTAATGACAATAAGAACATCAGCAAGATCGGTAACTTAATGAATCTACTAGAAGGATGTCACCTTAGGTAGAGCCGATAACTTGACTTTAATCTAATTCGAGCAGTGGAGGTCGAACTTAACCGATGTAGCCGTACTTGAACTAAATAAAGATCGATAACTAGCTTATGCTAGAGCTAGCACTGGAGGTCGAACTTAACCGATGCAGCCTTATAGACCAAAGCATAAGCCATGACGGTACTTATAGACAAGTCGGAGGTCGGCCGGACCGATGCAACCCTGCTTGTTGAAGAACTCACCGAGATCTACACTACTCCTACTCCTAAGGGTTGGCGTGAAGCCGAAAAAGTAATTTATATTGATTGATTGGATATCCTTTACAATAGCCGGGGTTCAATATTTATACTCGGAACCTAAGCATGAATCCTGCTTAAGTACGACTCATTACAATCTTTGAAATAAGAGAAAACACTCCTAATTTAAGATAACTTGGACCATAATCTTTCCCTTTTTGTAGAGTCCGACATGTCTTTCCCGACACCAACCGTAGCTTGTCGTTGTTATCTGCTGACGTCATCTGAAAAGAGCCGATTTCAGTGCCGCATCTGAATCAGCTGATATCGATCCTTATGCAATCGATTCCTTGATGATACAATCTTGGAAGCTTCGAGTTCCGGCGTTCTTCTTTCCCAAATTTTGGTGTAAACACATGATGTATCTAATGAAATCAAACTTGTTTAACTCTGACCAAATTTATAGGAAAAATGTATTAACATCTATAATATTGAATAAATACACTCATATATTTGATGGTGTATCTAATGAATCTAGTTTGATGTTGTAGATGTTTGTGCATTTTTCTATTAACTTGTTAAAGCTAGAGAAGTTTGACTTAGGACAAAACTTACAATTTGGAACAGAGGGAGTGCATGTTTTATTCTATGAACTCAATGGTGTATCAGTAGATTTATAATGAATAGGAAACATATTTTTGAGGACAACTAATCACCACAAAATCTTAAACCTTGTGCTTAAAGCTTGTTTCTATTGAGTATTATGTGTGTGTGGCAATGGTGCTTCTGTTTATTTGTATGTTGTAAGCATTGTTTCAAAAGGACTTAGGCAGGCGGTCAGGCTTTTTTCCCCTCTCAGATACGCAAGAAAGCTGCACATGATTGCATTAAAGAGAAGAGTATAAGACTACGTGCACACAAACACAACTTATATTACATTAGCACTTGGTGTAGACATTTCTACTTTTTTCCAGTCAGCTAATTGAACCCCTTTGGTCTTGCTCTGCCTAGGTGTAGACATTTGTACCTTTTTCCAGTCAGCTAGAATAATGCCATGTGAAAAAGAGGAAATTTGACATCATCATGCATCCATGAGTTCCATGACCATATTTCATCTTCCCCATCTCCGATTTGTCCCACTTCCATACATAGATCAATGCCCTAAAGGCCTAAACCAGTCTAGATGGGAAAGTGCCTAGACAAGTCACTTAGGTGCTAAGTGAGCTGGTGCCTAGGACCGCCTTTCGAAATAGAGGTTGTAATGATGGTATACTGTTCTGTAGCAAAGTAGTGTTATGTCTGTTGGATTTGACTGTTCGGTTTGCAATTTATCAGAACACATGATGCTAGTAATAGTAGTATTCTGGTAAATGTGGAATTATTTCATCTGTTTTGAGTGACCGCTGCACTGTACCCCATTGATTTATGCATGTCCCCTATGAAGGACTTATGTTTTAATTCATGCCGCCATGGAGTTCCAAGTGCTGCTTAACATCAACTAGACCGATCCACATATGATAGCTTATTATGTTTACACGTTTTTTGTCCTTGAACACATTATGTTTACACGTTACGGTAAATGGCATAGGTACTGATTCCAATTTGACGAACTCGAGGATTATTATATTTTCCCATTACTGAGAAAGTGTCAAGTAAGAATCAAACCTTTCAACTTGGTTTTTGTTCCTACTACTAAATAGCTCTTTCATACATTTCTATTCCTGTTCTGGCACTTATCTGCTGAACTCTGAACTATTTGATGATTGGGAAAAAAATGTTTTGTATTTTGACAAGTTTGGCCATAGCTGTCCTTGAATCACTCTTTTGCCTTGACAAATTCCTGTAATCTATAGATTAAGTATGCACGGTTGTTTTGTTAAATTTTGTTCACATTCCTTATATAACATACAAAGTTATTGTTGTATGTTTGCTTTGAAAACACTTTAATTGTCCTCTGTTCGTCAGTTTATCATAAAGGTTGTATATTTTGGTGATTGCTTTGCAATGCAGTGAAATAAATTGCTCACTACAGGATATTGATGATAAACTTATCAGACCTGTTAAATTCATTGGTCAAAGCTCAGCAGGTATGGAGGATCTCGTTTCATATAAGTTCTGATTCTGCAGAAGTAGGTCATGCAGATGTATTTTTGTAGTTCTGATTAGCTATTGTTTTACTTCCTCTGGTTATAAAACCATGTTGTTCTGTCGACACATTCTCCAAAATGTAACTTCGACAATGGTCTCTCTTTCTATACATATGTAAAAGCCTATAGAATCATAATATCATGGAAGTACCTTTCAGAATGAATCTACACATGAAATTATAATGTTCCGTAAAAATACTTTAAAGGCTATCAATAGTTAAATTTTGAAGATCTTGATTCCATGTATGTCCAAAATGACATGTATTTGTGATTGAACATTAAAGTTTGTACTACATTACAAAGATTATTTAGGATATACTAGGAAAAAACATGTGGCATGAGTGTGGGATTGTGTTCAGTTGAACCCATGATTTTTGAGGTGTTGTGGTGTCCTGTGGTGCTGGGGGTACACCTGGTAGCCTAGGCGATATGGTGTAACTAAAACTTGTGGCATCCTGCGGCATCTGGGGTATGCCTAGGCGACGATTGAAACACAATGGTTGAACCTAGTGAATACCCCCTTATCCCCTTTGTCTAGGTACTTCTACAGCAGAAATCTATACAAGATGTGGGGCATTTAAAAATGCAGTAGATGAATCATGAATCCAGATAGTTGTTTCACATTACTAATTCAAGCTTTGGTCTTTGACAGGTAATAACCAAATGAAGGGGCAAAGCCAAAAAACTCAACAAGCTATTTTGCAGGTATCAGACAATAACTCCTGTCAGTTCTTGACAAGTACTTATGGCATCTCATCATCTAGATCATTTACAGAAATTTCGATCTGGGGTATATAATGTTTTGGTGGCAACATCAATCGGCGAGGAAGGACTAGATATTGTTGAGGTTGATCTCGTGATCTGTTTCGATGCCAACGTCTCACCATTAAGGATGATTCAACGGATGGGAAGAACCGGGAGAAAGAATGAAGGGCGAGTTGATATCCTTTTGTGATGATGAGCACAGCAAGTTCTCAAGCTCAAAAGTTACATTGCTAACCAAGTTTCCTTCTTAGGCATTTGCTACCTTAACTGCTCATACTGGTTTTGGCTTATGAAGATCAAGAGTTGCAGGGGTACAGAAAGAAACAAGGAGATTGTCGAACCATGAGGAAGCTATTGCATAACAGTGAGAGATTTGAATACCATGCTAGTCCTAGGATGGTAATTTTGTATAATCTTTTTTTTTTGTAAAATTGTTTCTTCTGAAATACTAATTTAACTATTCACATTAACAGGTTCCACATGTCTATAAACCAGAAGTTAAGTATGTTAAGTTGACAATAGACAAGTATATTCCTCACTTAAGGAAAACGAGGCTTTTCTGCAAAAGGTTTGAACCTGCATTACATGACAATGCTGCAGGATCTGGCATGTTGCTGCTGTGATATTTATTGGCGCGCTGGAGCTGGAAGATCAGCTGGAGGCAGATTTTGTATGTACATTTTGGTGTCAAGAGTATTTATCTCAGTATCATACACCATGTATATAATCTCTGTCCTGTAAATAGTGTTTGATGTTTAAGGGTCTGCTTGTATACAAACATCTCAAAGTTTTGATGTGTTATGAACCCAGTGGCAAAGATGACGTCAATGCTAAACCGACTGGTTTTGCATGGACGGGTCATTGGTGCAGCCTGATGGCAACGTGGAGTTTGGTTGATTGGACGAGTGGTTGCTACATGGTGCCTGGTTGCTTTCTGAAAACAGGCAATATTTTGTGTGGTCTTGTCAATTTCTGTCCATCTCAAATTAACGTCCGCGTTGTCGTACTCTTGTGCGATAATGTGAACACAGGGATTCTGAGGACAATGCATTAAATCTAAGCGCGTTTTAATGGCGTATTATCGAGAAAAAACTCGCTATCGATGTGCTCATCAAGAGATGGAGAGATAAATAAAGCTTGGGCAATTTTTTCCGTGGTCTTTTATACCTGCTTTGGCATTGCTAATCTTTTCACGCGGTTTTATGTTATCAGTTACATATAAGCACAGTTTGGTCTGCAAGTTTTTATCAGTTCCATATAAGATCATCACCGTTTTCTGCAATTCGTTCAGGGCTTTCATGGTTTAAACAAATAGATGGCTTCCACTAGATAATTAGCCGATATCTAATGACAGGGCGTCAATACGATATTTTATCAGTCATGCATGCCTAGGACTAAGATTTGACGTGACATGCAACAGAGGTAATCTATAGGATGTTTTGGTTTTGGTGGTAGTATTTCAGTCATTCAGCATGTGTGAAGTGTGAACAGAGAGATCCTGAGATCAAGATGATAAAAATACACATGGAAAGAACATATATCTTTTTGTATATCTAGCGTGTCATGAGGAAAGTCCCTTCTCAGCCTACACCAAGAACACGTAAAGCATAGCAAATTGCGATGGCTGCAAGGAACAGACACTGCCGGCCTTATTTTTAGTCCGGTTTGGCTTTTCTCGTTGAATAGATCAATGGGCATGTGAATTGTGTGATGTGTGCTCGGTGCCTCGGTGTCAGCGGGGAAACTTTTTACCCACTGTTATTTCCTGCTCGTGATCTACTGTTTGGATTTATTTGCCTCAAGCCTTACCCTTTAAGGTACTCTCTCTCTCTCTCTCTCTCTCTCCAGCTTCACATTTGGTGCATTGTTTTTTTCATTCTTCTTAGTTCTTATACATAAAGATATTGCATCTGCGAAATGAGCGTTGATCAGCTTGTCAGATTACTTGTGGTGTAACTTATCCACCTGGTTAAGTCATCGACTTAGGGCCTGTTTGGATTCCCTCTAAACTTTATAACACTTTAGCTCAGTTTTGAGCTCTAAAGCTTTTGGTCCTGTTCGCTTCTCTTATAATCCGTCTTTTTCAGTTTGTTTTTTTAGCCGGAACAGTATTTTTCTCTCACAATAAATCAGACGGAACAATGTTTTGGCTTTTTTTTCAGCGAAGCGAACGGGGCCAATGAGGGTGGCTAAAGTTTAGAGCTAACTTTAGACCACTTATTTGAAGCTTTAACTCTAATTAGAGCTCTAAAGTTTAGAGGAGGAAATCCAAACACGCCCTTAACATGGCCGCAAGGGTAATAAAAAAACATTAACTCAAGCTATGCATACTATCTATCTAGCAAACTAATATTGCAGCTAAGCGCATGGCAAACATGCATGGAGATGCATGTGACAAAGAGGGAAAAACTAGCAATTTAGGACATAGAGTAGTATAATTGGTAACAAATCATCTATATGATTATTGTGTACAATGTGCGAAAAAAAGAGATAACAAAGGTAAGAAATTCCGGTTATATATTAGTTAGCCCCAAAGACGTCCTTTTTTCCCGCAAACAAAGACGTCCTTGCTTAAAATTACTTTCATGTGTTCGTTGATGTACAATTAATATATTCTAGTTACATTTACATCCTTATATATATTATTTAGGAAACAATCATGGAAAACCCACATTAGATGACGACAGTACTAGTAATAGTCAGTATCGAGTATGACATTTCATAGCTTATACTAGGCCTAGGACCATGCATAGGTTGCCAAATGTGAGGGCCACACAGGCTAATGGCTTATCTGCTCTCCAACCTTTAGGAGTGGTCAGTATACTAATAGGGCTAGTATACTAACCAACAATTGCCAAACAAGTTGAGTTAGGTTTGATAGGTAGCTAGGTAGAAAGGCCTTCTAGAATCCAACAACAAACAAAAAGGACTGCCATATGCCTTGGGTTGGAGTAGTGCTCCAAAGAGGACAAAACAGAAGCATCGAAAAGCATCTCAAGTTCAATTTGGTAGACTATTTACTGTTAGGTGACCCATCAATTTTAGCCTGGAATCCAGGCCATTTGTATTCCAGGCACATGAAAGGTACTTCTGAGCTGTCGTCCATTTCAGCTGGGATTGCTATGACGTGTATATGTATATATATATATATATATATATATATATATATATATATATATATATATATATATATATACACACACACGCATGTGTCCTAAATGATAAGACGTTTTGGTACTTCTAGATTCATAACTTTTATTATGTATCTAGATATAATATATATCTAGGTGTATAGCAAAAGTTATGAATCTAGAAAATCAAAACATCTTATAATTTGGAACAGAGAGAGTATCTGCTAACTTGTAATCTACACTGCTGTCCTGTGTATGGATGAAACGGTCTTCGGTCATAAACACATGCATTCAGTGTAGAAAGGATACTGTTGGTGTGTGTCCATGCTGTTGGACTAGATTATTCAGACACTTGACAGACTTCTTCCATGTCTAGAGATTGTACGTGCATATATATGCATGTGTAGAATTTATATTGAATTCTTAGAGTTATTTTAAGTCAAACTTTTCTAATTTTTACCAAATTTATAGAAAAAATGTCAAAATTTATAAAATCAAATCAATATCATTAGATAAACTATAAATTATATATTTTTTATAATAAGCATGTTTGATGTCATAAGCATTTGTACCTTTTTACTATAAAATTCAGTCAAACACAAAAAAAAACTTATTTAAGACAACTATAGAAACTGATTTATTCATAGACGTAGAGAGTAAATATATACTAGTTTTTTTAGCAACGGTGTGTTGAATCTATATGTACGTACGTACTCCCTACGTTCAAAATTATAAGATGTTTTAGCTTTTTAAATACATAGTTTTTGCTATCTATTTAGATATACACTAGTCTAGATGCATAATAAAAATAATATATCTACAAATAGCAAAAACGTCTTATAAATTGGAATGGACGGAGTATTTGCTAGGAGTACGCAGGAGTACATGTGTAGCTAGTGTGTACGCGCAGTCAGCAGGTAATCATGCATACTTTTTGTTGTCGTTCTTGGCAAGGACATGCCGTCCCGGCCCGTGTGTCCGACCATGCATGCATCAGAGGTTGAAGTTAGTGCGTGTTTGCTGCGGGGTTGGATCGATCGTTTCTTTTTGGGAGCAAAAACCTAACGCTCTCACGTCAAATACCTTCACTCGTTTCAATAGCAAACAGTGCAGTGGATGCAACAGTGCAGTGGATGTACGAAACCTTAACAAATTAAAATAAAGATTGTCCCCTCTTTCCACCAACCATAAATTTGAAATAGGTACTGCAGATAGCTTGAAACCAACAATTTCACTTTAGGACTTGTTCGCGTGCCAGACTCCCAATAATGCAAGCTGCTTTCTGCAGGAAATCTAGGTAGTATACTCCCTCCGTCCCAAATAAGCGTTTCTAATATCCGTGTCGATCAAACTTTTAAAGTTTGATTAGACTTGTGGAAAAAATATTAGCAATATTTGTATGTCTGAATAAATTTATTATGAAAATAGATTCAATGATCTATCTAATGATGATACTAATTATGTATTATAAATATTAATATTTTCTTGTATATATTTGGTTAAAGATAAAAGTGTTTAACTCCTCGAAAACCAAGAACGACACTTATTTTGGGACGGAGAAAGTGACCTGAATAAATCAACTACGAGAATTGTCTTGTAGCACTTGTGTGTACATATGCTTCTAAAACACTCGAATCCGTAGTAGATAGACAACCTCAAAAAAAATACGATTACTTAGAACTAATATTAATAGTAATATCCCTACCAATTACCAACAACTGCCTCTTATAGTCTTATTCCATGACAAAAACTAAAGATGATACTAGCCAGCTACTAGTAGCTACTAAATCCATGAAAAGAATAGTGCTTGCAATATGTCGCGCTTGGAGTATCATCAACATCCATGAAAAGCCAATGACAAGAGACAAAGAAAAGAACAGCACACGGACAATAACAGTGTGTGATTGATTATCTAAAAAGAGACGAAGATTGTTGTAGAGAGAGAGAGAGAGAGAGAGAGAGAGAGAGACGAAGATAACGACACTACACTCTCTGTAGCTAGTCCCTAGCAAGAAACCACCGTAGTTAAAACAAGTGACTGACTGATGACAAGGTCCGCACCAAACACGGAGAGAAAACATGGCCAGTGGCGTCTGTTGCTTCCGGCGACCCATTCGACCGCTGGGATTCGATTTTATCTTCCAGCGGCTGCCGGCCTGCTGCGAGGGAAGAAGCGTCAATGAATGCGTGTGCGTCCGTACTGCTTTTTTCTTGATCACTCGCTGCGACAATGACGACGACCGGCCGTACGTACGCTCTTCGTCTCATCGTCGTCTTCTTCTTCGATCGTCGGCTCAGTTTTCAGAGCTTCTGTTTGACAAAAGCGGCCATGGACGGATCGGGGTAGCAGACGGAGACGGCGACGTGCCGTACAACCTGTCCCAATGGGATCGAATGCTTAGCATGCGTGGTCACCGTACCTTGAGGGAGGGATCGGAGGAAGCATCGTCATCCGTCCACGCGCCGGCGACTATAGCTCTGGTCGGCAGGATTTATTACTGCTACGGCTGATTTGTAGGACTGATTTGTTGTAAGAGAGAAACATTATTCTATGGCTGAAATAGTAGGGCTGATTCTAGCTTCTAACCTCGAGCGAATAGAGCCTATAGTGTCGCCGTTGCCGTCGCTGTCACATCGACCATCAGGAAACACATGCATGCATTGTATTGTGTGGTAGAACCTGGAAGAAGCATGTATGCATGTTTGAGTATGTTTGGTTAATTTGATGCCGTTGCCGTCACATCTACCATGGTTTATGTCTACCAA